ATATATATATACATATATATATGTATATATATATATACACACACACACACACACACACACAATTTGAATTTTGGGAAACATTAACTGTGCTGTCAACTTTGGAAAAAGTTATCCCAATTTACTGTGTTGAGTTGGCACTGTACAGAAATTAACAGTCATACTCATCTAGAAATGTTCATTGTTTTTCCATTTGTACAGGGATACCACCCTGTATTAAATAGGTAAGGTCATATCTACGTGGGATTGATTACAGAAACTAATAAAGTATCCTCTAAATAATCAAAAAAAAGAATATAAGACTACAAGAGCAAGAAACAATTTAAATATGCTCAGGTGCCATTTTCATCTTCAGAATTAAGGATTATTTTAATTTTACATCACTGCCTTTTCTCTTTTACTTTCCTTTTTAGTTTTATTTTAGAATTCCTTATTTTTAATATTTATACCGAGATTTCTTTAACTGAAATACCGAATAGTTTCTCTGGTGTGAAAAACTATAATAGTACACAAGATCCTAATGAAATAATTAATAATGTGAAATAGGAAGTAAAGGGCTAAAGGTGTAGGGAAAGTGGGAAGGGCGGGGGAAAGGTAATAAGGGAGAGGAAAAAAATATGAGAAAATGAAAAAATGGAAATAAAGTGTTTGTAAATGGGGAGGGGAGGGGGGTGAAGGGAGGGCAGGGACAAGGGGAAAAAAAATGAGAATCAAGACCTATCATGTAAAGGTACAGGATCCCAATAATGAATGTAACTGTATTGTATACCTAGATTGTACCAATAAACTCAATAAATATAAATACATAAATAAATACATAAAAATAAAAGATAATAGGAAGTAGGGAGACAGATCCTTCTCAAATAATAAAGGGATAGAGAGATTGAAAGACAGGTGAAGAAGAGAGGACAAGGAAATAAAAAATAATTAAGATGTGTTACATACAAGTACCTGCTCCCCAAAAGGAATACAATCATTACATACTGCAAACATGTTACTAATAAAAAAGCTGAAAAAAAAGTTGTAATATGAAACAATTTACAAATCTGTGAATACTGTCATTTTGAATACACAGTATTCTAAATTATATGGATAAACCTCACAAAACAGGAAATTCACTCTTTATTTTTTATTTTGAGATCACAACACACCTTTATTTGTATCAAACATCTGCATAGCATCACCCAAACTTTCTAATTTTCGGTAAATGATGAGACCAGCCTATGGCAAAAAGGAGAAAAAAAGAGCAAGCTGGTTAAAAATAAGTAAAATAATGTCATATGTCTCACCTTTAAAAAAAATCCAAAAGAAATATTCTCAAAGCACTCCCAAAATTAAATCCAACCTATTGTTGCTACATATCTATGTGCCTTCATTTAACCACTACAGAATAATGAGAATGGAGAAAGCTGCCTATAAAGGAGAAATTTAAGTCTTCACTGATTAACACTCAATATTAGAAGCAAATTTCCAAATAAATTCCTTATGAATAAACTCTCACAAAATACATACTAAGGAAAGAAATCTGTTTTGACCAGAAACCCACTTTCTTCCATTTCATTAAATCAGCTGAGAATGTAGCATGTGAATAGTCTTCTTTGGAAATACTGTTAACAGGAATAATCAAATCATACTGATTTTTTATGAATGAAAATGCTATACAACTTGTGTGAGTCTCAACAAGTATTGTACTTTTTAAGAGAAGTATCATTCCCTATGTCCCTGCCAAAAATGAATTTCTTTTCCTCTGGTTAAAAATTAAAGGCGTTTCCTAAAAATAGAGGCAAAATGGGAAACAAAAAGATATTAATCAATAAATAAAAGTTATCAGTTAAAAGGAAAGAAATTCACCATGGAAAAAATGTATTTCATACATTAAAATAGACACACACCCAACAGTACAACACATAAAGCTCAGATTTCACCATGTATAAACTTACAAATATAAAACAGAAGCAGCAAGCCAAATTTGGAGGCAATTTTTCTACATATTCACTACATTTTAAATATAAATACAAGAATAAGGCCAACTTCAATATAGAAATTGTTTTATAATTATTCTTATACTGAATTGCTACATATCAAATAGATCGTCAATAGCATTTGTGCTTGCTGAGCCTGAGCTTGCTTTTTACGGTTTCAGCAATTTCACGTTTCTTTTACCCACAAATTGGACATTATTTTGGAATCATGACAGTGAAAATAAACAGCACTCAACAATCTGTTCATTGGAACTTGCTAATCTATATCAAGAACTAAGTTTCACTTAATGAAAGCAGTTTTTAATGCCAAGCTGATATTAAACATCTTAGTTGAGTTTATGCCAGCACCGCAATAAAAATTCTGTGAAGTAATTTATAAGAAGGTTTCAAAAAACACCCCAACCTAAAGATCTGTAAGTACATACGTAAGCATCGGTGGCTGCATAGAGTTTCTGGTCCTCATCAAGAGGGAAAATACTCCAATTGCTACAGCGGATAGACTTCTCTTTCAGAAGCTGTTTACCAAAGAGGTGTTTAACCAGACCATTGAGGCTCCAGATCTCCATACATTTCAACTAGAAATACGAAAAAGCAATACAGAAAAATTACTTTCTGCTATTACCAGATATTCCTAAATACCACCAAAGAACCAGGCCACAAATAAACCCAGAAATTTTATATCCAAATACCACCCAGAGAACTTCTCTATTGCTACAAAAACAGTATATATTTTTTCAACATAAAACTACCTTCTGTAAGGAATAATGTACATACTCTACCTTCTGATTGGCAACCTCTGTCAATTCCACCAAGTTCTTCAATTTGATGTCAAAGTCACGTAGAAGTTTCCACTGATCTCCTTCGATTCCTACACCTGCCTTTTTAATTGTTTCATTTTCAAGCAACATTTTTAATCCCTGGGGGAAAACTATAATATTTTATTGTTATTTCCATAGCATCTGTTATGTACTCTCTACTTCTTATAAATATCACATGTATTTTTAAACTTGTGTTTATGTTAAACTTGAATTCAGAAACACATTCACCTTAAGTATTTCAGTTCTTACCTAAGACAAAAACTTCTGATTGATAAGTGGTAAGAAAAAACAAATCTGAACGTCACCTGCGCTAGTGCCAGCAGCATATCCCTTGTCATTAACACCCTCTAAGCTCTACTTTTCATTTGAAAACAAGAAAACATGCCTCATGGAATGTTATAAAAATTCAATGAAACAGGGAACATGAGTAAATCAGGTAAAAACTGAATACTTGTAAGATGATGAGAGGAGAGCCAACTAATAAAAGAGACTACTTTTTATAGGGATAAATTTGATATATTGCAATTATCAGCTATATAAAAATGAAACAAAGCAAAAGAGATGACCAACCTGACATAGAAGAAATGTGAAACAAGTAACATTTGCTCTCAGACACACACAATTGAATTAGTGCGACTCTGCTTAGTTTCCGTTTATTGTATATCGGTGGCCATTCCATGTCAAATCCTATCACATCTCCAGCAGACAGACTCATGCTAAAGGGAGAAATATAGTGAAGATTACTTGCATTAAATTTTAAGCTTTTGCACAGCTAGACATCATTCAAAATTTAAAAAGAAGCTACAGCCTGGTAGGAGGTATCTATAATACATATAACTGACAATGAATTATAAGAAAATATTGTTACTCAAAAAATTAAGAAAAATACAATAATCTAGTGGAGAAATGGAGAAAAACAGAAACATGAAATTCATAAAAGAAATCAAAATGGCTAATGAACAAGTATATAAAAACTCCAACTTTCTCTACACAGTTTCAGATCTATTTGAAAACTTAAAGGTTCAAAATATCAAGTGCTGTGAACTATATCTATGGACTGCTCATTTCTGATGAACATATAAATTGGTATAAATTCTCTTGGAAAAAATTTTGACAATATCTACTGGAAGATGAACAAATACTATGTATGACCTGACAATCTTTTCTCATAAATATATAAACTCTAGGATGTACATGAAGAGACAGATGGTGAAAAATTGTTCCTATCGGCAAAAAATTGAAAAAAAATCATCTGTCAATAAAATGGACAAATAATGTAATAATAAAACAGCGGAACAACACAGAAAAGTTAAAGTGGAACTACAGAGAAAATTTATCTAAAACAATGTTAAATGAAAAAAGTTACAGAGTATTCTTGTACATATAATTTGATAGCATTTGTAAATGTTTTTAAACAGGTGAAAAGGTATATAATATTTTGGGATATAAAATTATGAAGCAATATTAAAAACATGTAAGAGAATACCAAACACTGAATTCATGACAGAAGATATCTCAGACGGGCAGAGGGAAAAAAAAAATCAGAAAAAAAAATATATATATGTCTGACTTCAACTGTATTTTATTGTTGCAATCCTTAATTCAGATTTGAAGAAAATGAATGTTAAGATTTCACTAAGAGCCGGGCATGGTGGCACTTGCCTGTAATCCCACTATTCTGCAAAGCTGAGGTAGAAAGGCTACAACTTTGAGCACAGTCTGGGCAGCTTACAAAAACTATGTCTCAAAATTTAAATAATGTTTTTAAAGGTTGGAGAGATATTCGGTAAACAATATAACTTACCGAAATTCCCAGAAAGGAAAAGAATTGCAGGATTAGAGAATAAATTTTCAAATTTAATGAAAACTATAAATGTAATATTTAAAAAAAACTTCAATGAACCCAAAGCAGGATAAACACAAACCACACTATGCAAAGGCACATAAACTGTGGAAAAACTGTTGTATTAAAGATCTTAAAAGTTAGCCAGGCATGGCTACACCTGCCTGTATTCATAGCACTTGGGGAGGCTGAAGCAAAAGGACTGCAAGTTCAAGTCCCCCTAAGCAACTTAACAAGACCTTATCTCAAAATAAAAAAAATTAAAAGGGCTGGGGATGTGGTCAAAGGTCCTGGTTTCAATCCCCAGTACCCTACTGCATACACATATATACACACATATAAACAGAGAGAGTGAGAGGTAGGAGCTCAGAGAGAAAGGAAAGAGGGAGAGGGAGAAGCAGAGGAAGAGGGAAAGGGAGAATGAGAGAGGGAGAAAGAGGGAGAGAGAGAGAAATCTTGAAAGTAGTCCGAGAAGGGGAAATACAAAACAAAACAAAAACTCTGCCTTTTACAACGTATGTAAAAACTACAATTCTTCAAGTCACTTATGATTGTTGCCTTCATATATGACATAGCAAGGCAAAAGTTGGTGAAGTTAATATATAATCATAATAGATTTTTACCTTCTCTGTGAGTCTAATTGGATTCAATATAAATTTTAAAATATTTAAAAGTAGAATAGAACATAGTGATAATGTATACATAGAAATAATTACCTTTGGAACTTACAAATATTACCATAATCGTTGTTATGTTCTAAAGATCCCAAACCAGTATAATTAGGTAATTCATATCTCTTACCTAATATCTTCTGATAGGAAAGAGCAATCACTAGCTTCATAACTATACACAATAGAGCCAGTGAATTCTAAGAAGGGGAGATCATCTTCAAAAACACTCTTCTGAATATGTGCCTTGAGTTAAATAAAATGAAAAATAAACACAAGTAAAGCTTATACTAAATAATATTCATTGAAATAATAAAGTCCATTGGCATTTTCAATTTTTAGTTCTAAGTTTTATCAGTTAATGCTTTACAGAACTAATAAAGTCAAGGTCAATTTTTTAAAAATAAAGCCATCCCATTGTAAAGTTATTATTCCTAATAAATCCATTTTCAAACTTCTAATTCTATTTTCATTAAAGCATTTATTTTACTCATAAATTTATCTGATAACTATATTAATAATAATGCAATACTGTGGCCCTGAAATGCTGACAACTGGTTACCAGACTTATGAGAACTTAAGTCTTAATCAAAAAAGTCACCAGTGTTAATGATGTTCAAATTAATATCTGAATTGGAACAAACTAGTAAGTTCAACCATACAAAATGGATATACAAAGAGGAATATGCAGTAAGAATTTTCATTTTGTTAAACCAATTAAAATTCATTCCCCTTCAGACATTCCACTAGACCCTGCTTCGTTCACAAAACAGACACTCTGACCTAAATAATGACCTGAAGTTTACAAATAAGGTTTGATTCATCAAACCACCAAATTTAAATTTCCCATCTGTAATAGCAGATGTAGTTTATGTACATATTCTGTCATAAATAATGATAAACTTGAGATATCTGTAAGAAAATGGATGCAGCTTGAGACCAAAATGTAACTAAAATAAATCAGACACACATGCTCAAATTTCATAAGGTTTCTCATATGTGAGAAACCCAAAAGCAAAATAAGAGATAATATGGACTAGGGAGATAGATCTCTCTCAAATGGGAAGGAGATTAAGAGATAAAGGGATAGAAGGAGGGGAACGAAATGAAAATAAATTAAGATGTGTTATGTGCATGTACCAATCCCCTAGGAATGTAATCATGTACTGCAAACATGTTCTATACTAATAAAAAATAAAAACTGGAAAAAAAATAGTAAATGAATACTATACCTTTTTTCCTTCTACAGCACATCCTTTATTCTGCATAGACATCCATTCAGGAAATTTCCGCTGTTGTGATGTGGTTTCCAATTTTTTCTCATTCATCTTTAAAATGACCTCGTTGCAAACTCCAAAATAAGTAAATAAGACAAATCTTTGAAAGAAAACTCAGAGATACCCCTGTCCATATGACTTAAACCAAACACATCTAAAACAAATTATGTATCTAGTCCTAAATACAGTATAGTAGCTGGAATCACAAAAGAAACAGACACAAGATTCTAGATTTAAATTCCAATAGTATTTCTCCTTTTGAAATAAATTGGCTGCTTTACTTGAGTTCTAAGGTTCCAGCAACTGCAAAATGCTATTATTTATTTTAATAATTTCAAGGAATATCTCATTAACAAAGACTGTTGGGCATATAAAGTATTAAAACTTTTAATATCTTTTTTTGTATGATTTCATCTAACTCTAAGATCTAAGTAAACTCAGCAAAACTGTTAAGATTTATTCAGGTTTACTTAAAGATTTGATTTTCAGGACTGATAATAGCTCTTCTACATTAAGAATGCCAGATTTATAACATGCCTTTTGTTAATGGTAAAATGGATCCATACTGTAATGTGACTTATAATAAACTGAAGCAGCCTTAAATTCTTAGTAAAAAAGATCAATCTTATTTTCTATTATGTCAAATTCCTAATGAGCGGTGTTATTGCTTATGTCTAGATGTCCCTCAAAAGCTTCATGCAGTCATAGGTGTGGCTTTTTCAGAGGTGGCTGGATCTAGTGTGTGATTGCTAAATTAGTCCACTGATTGATATGGCACTGCCCTAATCTCAATAGCCTAGACAGAATATAAAAGGGACAGACAGAAACTGTTATTGCTGCTTATTGCTTATAGCATGCTTGCTTGGTGCCTTCTGTCTTCTGCCCACCATTAACTCTTTCTCTTCTGTGATGCCCCTCTGCCATGCCACCCAGCCTTGGAGTCAGCCAATTATGGACTGAAATCTCCATGAACTGTGAGTCAAATAAACTTTTCCTCCTTTAACTTTGGGTGTTGGGCATTTTGTCTCAGCAACAAGAAAAATAACTAAGACAAGGAGGCAGCAGTTTTAAAAATACTCCTTAAGATCCTCATGATGAAACAATGATTTGGTTAAATAATTACAGCAACTACTTAGGATTTAGGAATAGCCCATTACATTTGAGACTATTTAGCAACACAAAATAAAGAAAGTTAAACAATATTCGACAAGTACCCACTTTAATTGCTCACTTCACTAGCATGAACAAAACCTAGGAATATTGATAAATATTGGGCAAAACTTTAAAAGATTACTTTATCAAACAATTTGCCACACAGAACAAAATCTACCACCCTTATTACTGGAAAGGAAATAATTAATAGCAGTCACATAACTCTTTGACTACTGGGGTAAGAATAATGAAAGGTCTAAACGAGAGTTTCTTGTAACATGCTAATGAACTCAAGTCAAATGGCAGCCTAGTAAACTTAACATTAACTAGAAGAAAAATACCAGAAGCCCTATCTAAAAAAATATGCTAGCACTATAGAGAGCTCTAAACAGATTATTATAAATGTCTGGAATTAAGGATTTATTAGTTTATGCCTGGAAAATGGAAAGTAAGTCAAGTAAGTTGTGTAATTATGAGAATATATAATAGGAGATCCAAAACAACTTATGCTGTGCAAATGTTTTACACACACTGCTCAAAAGTAGTCTGATAATTCAAAATCATAATGAGTATTAATGCAAAAGAAAGGGACACTTTTGGAGTCTGTTTCTCACAGTTTGGGACTGCCCCCCCAAATAAAAATGTTCCATCTGCATTTGGTGCTTACCTATCTATATTCTTTGAATCACTGACAATTCTGGCACTGGATAAGATCTATGATTCACTAAATCAGAGCTGACAAGTCAATTCTTGGAGTAATCATATGTATTATATGTAGTATAAAATGCAAAGTATATATGGTTTATAAATTATATTTATAAGCATTTATAAATATAAGTGGTTATTAAATCATATTTGCCACAAATTCAAAACCTCTGACAGAAATAAAAAGCTGTTCCCAACCTATATGTATACCAATATATCTTTATAAAATATGTAATATTTTAATAAAATCTATAGAATCAGGATTTTTAAGTAATTCATTTATACTGTTAAAACAAAAGTAAATCTCAATTAACTTTCCTATGGCTATGTATAACACAAAAATCATTTTAATTTGAAACATCTAACTTTTAATATAAACAGTCTCTTTCACACACAAAATTCAATCTAAATGTTTCAGGCAAAGAATTTGAAAGTAAATCTGTTCACAAACCTAGCATCTTTGACAGGTTTACTTAGATCTTGGGGTAGATAAAAGCAAACAAAAATTAAAGTTATGAAATAATTTGCAATAGGAAAACCTTCTAATATACATGAGGATGTAATTCCCCTTCAGATAAAGATTATTCCTGAGAAGGATTAAAGTCACAGTGTAAAAAAAATTTTTTTACATATTTAGCTGCTATGTTGTTGAGTATGAACTCTAAGACATCTTTTTCTAAAATCACATATTTTATCATTTTGTAACACTTCATATTATATATACTATTAAAGGATTTTAAACCCCCCTCTGAAATGAATAATGTATTTTTATATGATTTGGTTTACTTTCCTGAAATTTTCTTGCCTTACCATCTACTACTATCTATAACTCTTCAACTAACTTTCTTGCTACTTTTAAGGCTACGTAGGTTTTTTTATTATGATTTTTTAAATTTTGTTTTGTTTTTGAATAGCCCGATTTGAACCATGTAAGGAAATTCATCTCATACACCGAGAGTAAAAGAATGTGAGTTTACCACTTGCTTTACTTTGACTAGTATGCACCTTATTTTCTTTAGATTTTTTGGTTCTTTTTCTATTTTCTTTGACTTTATGAAATTATTCCTTTTTCCCCATTATTAATATTAAAATATATATTAGGCTTTTTGCTATACTCCACTTCTGATCATTATTCAATATTTTCTTCAAATTCTATACTGCAATCATCAAAATAATAAGCTTTGTTAGATAGAACTGGAAACTCTCAATAATCAGTGTTCCAACAATTTAATCTCAATTTATGCTTCAAAGGTGCAAAAATTCTTAAGCTTTGGATACAATTGAATTTTTTGTTTCTAGTATTTTAAAATATTACTAAAACTTTGTCTTAGACACACACTGACTTTTTGCTCTATTGGTACTATTAATTCTCCTTTAAGCTTTAAATAACACTAGCGGAGCATGGCGGCACACGCCTGTAATCCCAGCACTCAGGAGGCTGGGTCAGGAGGATCACTGTGAGTTCAAGACCAGCCTGGGCTACATAGTGAGTTCCAGGTCAGTCTCAACTACACAGTGAGACCCTGTCTCAAAAAAACAAAACAAAAAAAAAATTTAAAAAAAAAGATTTAACAAGAATCATATCATTTCTATGTCACTTTTCCAAAACTGAATTTTAACTCTGAATTTATAAACTAACTGTATGCTAATAGTATGTGTTAACATATTTTCTACATGATCACTGCAGTTTGGTTGAGTTAATTCAAGTGCTCAAAATGTCGGTTAATAATGCCATGCTTTGGAACCAATAACTAACTATACTTCAACAAACCTACAAAGTTGAGTTAATTCAAGTGCTCAAAATGTCGGTTAATAATGCCATGCTTTGGAACCAATAACTATACTTCAACAAACCTACAACATAAGAAATATTTACAGGAGTAATTTTAAATTTTCCTTTTAATTCAATATCTCCCTCTGGACTGGCAATGCACTTCAGTAATGAAATAGCTAACTAATTGCATTTCTTCACCTAAGCTGAAAAGAAGGTATAGTTGGAACTTGAATTTCATTAGGCTCACAATTTTTAAGGCATCATTTAATGTGGTATTAAAAGCTAAAGGCAAGTTTTTGTTTGTTCGTTTTTGAGACAGGGTCTCACTATGTAGTTGAGACTGCCAAGGCAAGTTTTAATATATAAGTATTTTTCTGTGAATAGACAACATATTGTTTGCAATATATTTTTAGATTGAACTTAATGTAGTCTTTATACCTTCTTGTCATTATCAATCTCAAATTTCCACTGCTTCCATAATGTTCTGTGTGTTCAAGGTATTCACGTATCACTTTGACCAGTTCATTTCCAGCTGGTTTGGAACTTCTTTTTCAAGCAAATAACATCTTCCATGTGTTTTTCTTCAAGGATTCTAGACAATCTTCAGAGGACTATAGTCAATTTTTATGAATTCATATCTGAAATAAACACCTTGTGATTAAGCAGTCTTCTGGATTAGTGTTGTCTCTATGTCATTTGACTAAAAGTCAACAAATACTCTAATAGAATATTTGAAAATGGCAACTTTTCAAATTCCTTTGCCTCACATAGTGTCCCAAACTATGTTCCATATAAGCAGGAAAAAAGAGCAGATTCAGCAAATAGAGAAATATCAATGGCAACAAGGCCTTATCACTTGCGCAACCCTACAACTAGCTTCTTGAGCTCAATCTGATAATCGTATTTATCAATTATTATAGTCAAATAATTATAGTAATCATAAAACACTAAATTAAAATATTGTTATTAAAATATTGTTCTTATAATTAAAGATGAAATTAAACATAAGATTTTAATTTTATGTATGTGCACTTGTGTGTGTGTGTGTGTGTGTGTGCATATGTGTGTATGAATTGGGTCTGAAGCGATGTGTGCCAAGATACTGTGATTATCTCAATTGCAGATGGTATCTTCCAAATGTTCTCTAAGAATGAGTGTTGCTTTTATTAATCACAGCAAAAATATGTCAATAAAAGCGATAAAGGATTTTTTAAAAATTAACAATCAAGGCTACACTTTTTCATAATACAGAACAAGGATCAATAATTTTTATTCTGTTTTATGGCTACTGTAATTTATTAGTTATAATAATTAATCAATGTGATTATCAGATTGATCTCAAGAAGCTAGTTAGTACGGATGCACAAGTGATAAGACCTTGTCATCAATGGGTCAGATAATAAATATTCCAGGCTTCGTGGTCCACGTGGTCTCTGTCCTATTGATTCAAGTTTGCCATTATAACAGAAAAGCCACAAACAATACTTAGGTAAATAAGCCACATTATGTTATAATAAACTTTTTATCTACAGAAACTGAAACCTGAAATTATATAAATTTCCCAAAATATTATTATTTAGATTTTTTCAACCACTTAAAAAGGTAAATTAGCTCATAGTATGAAAAGCAAGCTTTATGTCAAATGTGATCTACTGGCCAACTCTAACAATAGAACACAGACAAAATATTCTAAGATTGAACAATGTCCAGTGACAGTATTACTAATCACTGACTATAGCTATTTTTAATCTCCATAATACATTCATAAAACATCTAAGACTGAAACTTCTTGGTAAATCTTTTTGATAAATTTCTTGTACAATATGCCTCATGATAGCTAAATGAATGTACTTTCTGGCTAGGACTGATAGTATTAACCAATTAAATGTGAAGAGATTATATGTCAGAATTCTGAATTAAGTTTTGAAAAAATTCATCTTACTCTACTTGACACCAATAAGATGGGAGGACAAACTGTCGGCTAAAATCACTTCTACTTTATGTCAATAGAAATTACATCAATAAGATTTCAGGACAAATGTAGAAAAATTAAAACTAGTCTCATTACAAGTTAGCTAAGAAGTGACAGTTTTTTAATCACCTAGTTTAGTGGTGACAAACCTATGCCACACATGTTGTTTTGCTTTTAAGACAAAAGATGTTAATGTATGAATTGTTTTTTCTAAACTAAAACCTCAATATTCAAGTTTAATTGCAATGTTGGTACTTTACAATAAATAAGTGGGTTTTGGATTGCAGTTTGGGCACTCATCTCTAAAAGGTTCTCCATCTCTAGCTTAGCTTTTACACCATACTCTACTTTGTTTTGACAGAGTAGAGATTTCTTTTTTTATTATTGAGTTTATTGGTACAATACAGTACAGTTACATTCTTGACTGGGATCTTGTACCTTTACATGACAGGTCTTGGTTCTCATTTCTTCCCCTTGTCCTTAAAACCACATTTTTCCACTTAGATTAGTCATCTTCTAGAATGAACGCAGGTAATACCAGTCTAAAGAAAGGTGGGTTTCAGTGGATGAGCACAGAGATTTCTTCATTCCTAAAACCTCTAAGGTAAGGAAATTAATACCTACTGTTTCCATGGAAACTGACTTGCCTAATTGCTTGAGGGTTAACCTGAATAAGCTATCCCAATACTTTTTAAGAGCATTAAAAAAAAAAAAAAACTCACTCAAGTTAAATGGTACATACAAATAACCATTTCAAGACCAGGACAAAATAATTATTAAATAATTCAAGTTTAACTCTGATAGTTATATGGTTTAATATGTACATATTTTCAATTACTTAAGATGGTTCAATTCTCTTTTGTTCCAAATACTGTATGTAAAGGCTAATTTGATGAAATAAACTTTTATAAATATTGTACTGACTTCTTAATCAAAAGTATAAGAATGTTTATAATTACTACTCTGAAATTTGCTAACAAAATATCATAAAAGAGTAGTCAAAATACTTACACTATAATTTCAGTTTCTTCGGTTTCTTACAGAAATTTCTTACAGAAATTTCACAAGTATCAACTGAGTTTCATAATGATTCTCTGAGGAAGGAAACTGTATCACCATCATGCGCACACAAAGAAAAACTAACAAAAAAAGTCTAGCTTGACTGCAAAAGTTAGATTGCTCTACTGTTCATAAATTATACTGTAAAGAAGTAGGGAAGTAGAGTGAAAAGAAATCTGGACTTAGAGTCAGAAGACCTGGATCACAGTGCTACTTTATGTCAAGAAAACTTACCCCAAACTTAAAAGGAGTACAAAAAGGGCAGTAAGTCTGTTCTATGTAATATAAGAGCATAAGCCCACTGAAAGATTATTTCATTAGAGAATATACTTTCAATTGGTTGGCTATTTATTCATTATTTAATATTCTATGATATTACCTATTAATTTATAAATTTTTGTGTAGCTAAGATGCAGATGAATTCTGACCAATAGTATACTCATCTTCTAGAACGGACACAGTTAATACCAGAAAATCTCAAGGGCTATAGTTTGTATAGCCCTATAGAATAGCTTTATATCTAGCCTAGTTATCTCATTCTAATTTTCTGTCATGCCTGGTGGTGCACAACTGTAGTGTCAGTACTAAGGAGACTGAGGCAAGAGGATCACCATGAGTTCAAACCCAGCCTAAGCTACATAGTGAATTCAAAGCTAGCCTGAATTACAAAGCAAGACCCTGTATTAATATCAACAACTAATAAGTAAATAAACTTCTTTCTCCAACATCTATATAGTTTTTGTATTTCTTTGACCATTTTATAATGCTACTGGTTCCCTCATTAATGAACTGAAAACATTTGTGATCATTCTATACTTGTATAAAACTCTGTTGTGAAATTTCTTTTGCGGGGGGTACCATGGATCTAACTCAGGTATTTGAGCTTGCAAGGCAGGTGGCAGAACCACTGAGCTAAATCAACAGCCCAAAAACACTCTGTTGTGAAATTTTTTGAAAAATTATGCCTTCACATCTGATTACTTAGTATCCATATAAGCTTGGGCAAATTGCTTTTCTAAATTTTAATTTTCTCATCTGGAAAAATGTGATTATATTCCTATTATTACTTGGCCTATGATATATTATAACATATTTTATTACTTGTCTTGTTGGCCTCCCAACAAATGTGAAGATAGTGATAAACATGATGTCACATTTTTTAACTGTAGTCATATATGAATTGGAATACCAGTCAAAGTAGTGATAGGTCTTTTACTGTTACACTTCATCTGCTACAGAAACCTGGATCCTTTAGGAGGGATCTTGGATCTGTAAGTACAGATAGAGATACCAAATCAATATAAATTGCACAAGGTATGTAAATTCATCAATGGCTAAGTAAACACTGAAGTGTTTCACAGAATGTTCTCTTAAATGAAAAATTCAAACAAAGAAGAGAACACTGATTTATGTATATAATACTGAAGTACCTAATACTTCATTCTTACTCATAAGCCTGATTCAAAGCACACTGAATCTCAACAGGCACCTATTTTCTTTCTCTTTAGCTATATTTCATAGACTGTATTTGAGAGATTTCCAATTGCAGTCTAAATAACAAGGGCAATATTCATGTACACATCTAACTTTTCCTGTGTTTAAGAAGGAATGCAGAAAAAATTTCAATGATTGATAAAATTATGACTGGATTAATAAACATTTTCAAATAATCTATCACAGAAACTCTGTAAAACCAAAGCAACTTAAATGCTTTGATAATTCAGTCTGCTTATTAATTGATATTAACCAATTTGGGTTAAAACTATTTTAATTTCACCAACAAAATTATGCTATTTTTACTGAGAGGTAACTTCCATTCAAAAACATTTCAAATTTAATCAATAATGCAATGAACTCTAAAAATTCTGGGTTTCCTTTCACTTAATAAATTACATATTTCAGGTAATGTGACCATGCATATTATATATGCAATGCTAATTAACACACTAGCAATTAGCTTTTATATATATACAAGCTATACTTTATACTTTATTTTAAAAGATATGTTCTGTATTTTGGGGGGAATTCCTCTTATTTTTCTATGAACCAGCAGAAATAAGTAAGGATGAGGGCTCGGGATGTAGCTCAGTGGCACAGCACCTGCCTGGCAAGCATGAGGCCCTGAATTTGATTCCTGGCACCAAAAAAAAGGGGGGGATGAAGAGATTGGCATTGTGGCACAGGTCTGTAAATTCAGCACTCAGAGGTACAGAGGCACAGACAGGAGGATTGCTACGAGTTCAAAGCCAGTCTGGGCTACACAGTGAGTTCAAGGCCAGTCTGAATAGTGATACCTTGTCTCAAAAGGGAAAGACAGGAGGGATGTCTAAATAACAAGGGCTATATTCATGTACACATCTAACTTTTCCTGTGTTTAAGAAGGAATGCAGAAAAAATTTCAATGATTGATAAAATTATGACTGGATTAATAAACATTTTCAAATAATCTATCACAGAAACTCTGTAAAACCAAAGCAACTTAAATGCTTTGATAATTCAGTCTGCTTATTAATTGATATTAACCAATTTGGGTTAAAACTATTTTAATTTCACCAACAAAATTATGCTATTTTTACTGAGAGGTAACTTCCATTCAAAAACATTTCAAATTTAATCAATAATGCAATGAACTCTAAAAATTCTGGGTTTCCTTTCACTTAATAAATTACATATTTCAGGTAATGTGACCATGCATATTATATATGCAATGCTAATTAACACACTAGCAATTAGCTTTTATATATATACAAGCTATACTTTATACTTTATTTTAAAAGATATGTTCTGTATTTTGGGGGGAATTCCTCTTATTTTTCTATGAACCAGCAGAAATAAGTAAGGATGAGGGCTTGGGATGTAGCTCAGTGGCACAGCACCTGCCTGGCAAGCATGAGGCCCTGAATTTGATTCCTGGCACCAAAAAAAAGGGGGGGATGAAGAGATTGGCATTGTGGCACAGGTCTGTAAATTCAGCACTCAGAGGTACAGAGGCACAGACAGGAGGATTGCTACGAGTTCAAAGCCAGTCTGGGCTACACAGTGAGTTCAAGGCCAGTCTGAATAGTGATACCTTGTCTCAAAAGGGAAAGAAACAGGAGGGAGGGAGGGAGGGAGAGAGAGAGAAGGGAGTGGGGGAGGGAGGGAGAAGGGGGGAAGGAGAGCGAGAAGGAGGAGGGAAGGAAGGAAACAGAGAGGAACCAAAGAATCCATGACAAAGCTCTTACTAAATTTCCTAAAGAAGTATTAAAGACTTTCCTTACTATATTGCTGCTAATCTTAACCATCCTCCAATTAGTCCAAGCAAGCAAACCACAGAAGCAAAATAAAACTACATATTAGCTCCATCTCAAGTACTATAAGCCAATGCAATTATAAAAAGTAGTAGGATGATTTGAGTGACCTATTTATTTTTGGTGCCTAACAAATTTTTATAACTTCAAATATTATACAAAGCAATTTTACATTAATAAAGCCAACTAAATTAAAGTATAAATGTGACCAATAAAATGCCATTAAAATGCTAGCAACATGAGGAAAAGATGAAAGCTATCTCTTTGCTGTGTCATAGTGAGAAGCTGCACTGCCCATAAACATGACTAAACAGAATTCAGAGCTCAGTAGAGTGCTCTGTAACTGAATTTCACTATTCAACTAAATAATTCATTATTTTTAATGAATTTCCTCTGCTCTGTAAGTAGCTGCAGCCAGTCAGCTAAAATCAACCATATAAAAACTGGGAAACTGCAGAGAAAGTTTTCAAGAAAGTCAATTTGCTTAGGCTATTTTTCCTTTTGTATTTATTACTGTTACTTCATATGATCTGAGGTGAAGCTTTACAGGACTCATCATTAGGTGGATGTTTATGGTTGCCTAGCCAGCACCCATACCACTCTGGACCCTCTTTATAGTACCAATAAATTTAGTTCAGATCATAACGAGTTGCCACAATACCAATGTGCTGTAGGGAAGCTGTCCCACTGCCAATACCCATGGGAGACCCGACTGGCCTAAAGGTAAACCCATTCCTTTGGTCACACTGATGACTCAAACTCAGCCCTGTGCCCACAGCAATCTCCTGAATTTGGTTTAAGAATAAAATATATGAGGTGAGTATGATGGCCCATAATCCCAGCACTCTGGTAAGCCTTGAAGGCAGGAGAATCACAAGTTCAAGCCCAGCAGGGCAATTTAGCAACTTAGTGAGACCCTGGCTCAAAATAAGACTATGAAAAAAGAGATAGGGAGGCAGCTCAGTGTTAAGGCCCTGGTTCAATCCATAGTATTAGAAAAAATAATAAAATATATCACACATGATTTCATTCAGGCCAATGAGACGCAGTTTTGAGGAAGATTTCCAAAAACAATACCATCTTGCTCTGTTAGACAACTACCAGGAGAGACACTCTGATATGTGAAACCCAGATCTTCTACAGCCATTCTGTCACCAGACAGAAGCCAGCTTGAGGACAAAGCCAATTTAGAT